TGTGTGAATGAAACAAAACACAACTCCAGGTCTTTTTTTAATGAGGTAACAACATTATAACATGACTTAAAGCTCACAAAAAACAGTGTTGGGAAGGTGACTTTTAAAATGTATTCCCCTACAGATTACAGATTACATACCCCAGAATGTTGTTTGTAACGGAATCCATTAAATTACTTAAAGTGAGTAATGTAATCTGAATACTTTGGATTACTTGATTTGCTGTAGAGAAGCAAAGACTAAGATATCATAACATAAGATGTTTTATCTGCTAAAAGAAAATAAAAAGCCCAGACTTTACTTCACAGTATTAAAAAAAAAAAAAAGACCTGGTTTTAGACCTGGTTTAGACCTGGTTTAGATCTAGTTTGAACTTGGTTTTAGTCCTGGTTTAGTCCTGGTTTAGACCTGGTTTAAACCTGGTTTTAGACCTGTTTTAGACCTGGTTTAGACCTGGTTTTAGACCTGTTTTAGAGCTGGTTTAGTCCTGGTTTAGATCTAGTTTAGATAAAGTTTAGACCTGGTTTTAGTCCTGGTTTAGTCCTGGTTTAGACCTGGTTTAGGCCTGGTTTTATACCTGGTTTTAGACCTGTTTTAGTCCTGGTTTAGTCCTGGTTTAGACCTGTTTTAGACCTATTTTAGACCTGGTTTAGATCTAGTTTATATCTAGTTTAGACCTGGTTTTAGTCCTGGTTTAGGCATGGCTTAGATCTAGTTTAGACCTGGTTTTAGTCCTGGTTTAGACCTGGTTTAGATCTTGTTTAGACTTGGTTTAGTTTCTGGCAATGAGTGGAATTACTGAAAAAAAAGAAAGAAAAAAAAAAAGAAAAAAGGGGGATATAGCCCAAAATGTGAAAACAGGAAAATACCGCCATGTAATCCATTTATTTGAACAAAGTAACTGTAATCCAATTACCACTCACTGAAACTGTAACTGTGACTGAATACAGTTACTCATAACTTGTACTCTGATTACATAACTCCAGTACATGTGATCCGTTACTCCACAAAACTGACAAGAACTTATATAATATGGACCCTTTAACACAAATCACAAATCTTGGCTTCTTGCATCGATCCAGAGTAACTCCAGCCTTCGTTATCAACCCCAACACAGACTTCAGACGCAATGAAAAAACAAAACAAACAAAGATGAAAGCTGTGTGTTTTATTATCATTTCAAATCAGACATTATTAATATACATTGTCATCTTTTCAAAGGGTTTAGCGCATCCTGTATCTCACCCAATTACAGCCCTTGAGCTAATCCCAGAGGAGCAATTTTTTCACCAGTGAACAATGGAACCACCTACGCAAGCGAGTGGAGTGGTCCGTCTGACAGCGCCGGCTCTCTCCTTATCTCTGCTGGAATGTTATGCAATGAAACTGACATTTAATTCAGTACAAGTGAAATGTATGGGGAAGTCAATAGGGACACGACATGAAAGCCAAGTGAGAGTTTAGCATGTGATGGGAGTACGACGTCTTTATTGCGTTGTACTCGAAATATCCAATTGAAATAAATTTTAAGTCGAGTTTTAGCTGCGCTCATCTGTATTAAAAGTTGCATTGTGTAGTTTGTCTGGTGGAACATCCGTCAAATGGAGATGTTATTGCTTTGTCTGGAATGATTTACAGTATTAAACCATTTTATTTTCAAGTTACAGGTCAGATCTGTGGAGAGGTGACCCCGCTGACAGTCAGAATACCTGTTTTTCTAGGTATTTTGGAGCTATAATACAAGCCGTAACTGAGTAAATGTACAATAGAGCTGTTTAATGTCATACTGTGGAACATTCCAGGCAAAACAATGAAATATCAATAGAAAGTAGCAGGTGACGGACGCCCAAATAAAAAAATACATAATGCACCTTTGAATATTAGAATGTGATAGAACTTAAAGGTCCTATATTACTGTATTTTTTGGACAATAAGTCGCTCCAAAGCATAAGTTGCACCAGCCAAAAAATGCGTAATGAAGAAGAAAAATGCATTTTTTGGGGGAAATTTATCTTATAAAGTGAGAGACCAGGAACTGACATTTCATCTTGAAAGTCAAGTTACAGTAATAACAATAGAACAGAGAACAATGTCACATATGAACAGTTCTTCAGATAACTGTAACATAAACAACAGAACAGAACAAGTTTACCAAACTCTCCATCTCACTCCAAATCACTAAATCCATTAAATTCTATATCCTCGGTGTCACTTCTGAGCAACTCCACGACCTCCGGAGGTAAACAGAGCGCCGCTTCCTCTTCTGTGTAGCTGTTGTCAGACTCAGCGTCAGTTTCAGTTAGAATTATTCCGGCCTTTCTGAATCCCGACAGGATGGTTTCTGTTGTCACCGAAGTCCAGGCTTTGTCGATCCATCCAGTAACTTCCAGGAAATTTGCATGATTCACCCTCCTGGTTGTCACAAGTTTCTCGCTCACTCCAAATTTTCTTTCTGCTGCTCCATTACCGTTTTCAGCTGTATGTCTTTTGCTACTTGCAGCTTGTAATCTGCAAAATATGATTTTCTTTTTGGGGGCATTTGTGTTCAGTCTTCTCAGTTGTCTTTATAAGTTTGTTTAAATTTTAAATTTTCAGTGGTACAGAAGTAATAGTGCGATCGACTGACATGATACAGACAGGACAGAGGCTCTTTCTGCAGGAGACATGTGCAGTAGAGCTGTTGTACAGGAGGAACAGGAGCAGCAGATACTGACACACAAGACTAGAGAGTTCATTTAAAAAATCAGCACTACATCCTGTATTTTGTAGTTTTCTTCTTAATTTCTTTCCACAAACTGCAACTAAAATTATGTAAAACTATGATATTGACCAAAAGTCAAAACCAAACCAGTGAATAATTAGAAAAACAGGAAAATCTGTTATATGAACTAATTACAAAACCAGACAGAGGAAGTTGGAGAGTGCTGTACATGACTTTGCAAAGACAAGAGCGTGGGAGAAACATATGAAAATGCTCTTCTGGCTGCTATTATTATTGCATTGTGTTTTAATTAGCAGCATACCTCCTCTTATCTAATTAAAATTGTATGCTGTTGTAAGTTATGCAAGAACGCTGGTTGGATATGTTGTCACCGCCAGATTAATGATGTAGACTTTTCTTTTCTTTTCTTTTTTTTTCTTCAGTGAAAGTTGATGTTTCTAAAGGTTCTGAACTATTCAAGTTTCTTAAAGGTGCACTATGTAACTTTTTGGTTTGGGGTCCGTCACCTGCTTGTTTCTATGGATATATGATTGCTCTACCTGGAATGTTCCACAGTGTGACATTAAACAGCTCTACTTTACATTTATTCAATTACAAGTGGTTTTATTGTTCAAAAAGAAAGAAAGAAAAAGGCATTCTGACTGTGAGCGGGGTCGCCTCTCCACAGATCTGACCTGTAACTTGATCTGGTTTGGTCTCCATGAAGATAAAAAGGTTTAATGCCATATTGTGAAACATCTGTATGGAGAAAAGCATGGACCCTCCACAAGAAAAGTTACACAATGTAGCTTTAAAGACGGTTTATTAGATTGATAAATACTTTATTCATCGCAAAGGAAATTCATTATGCAATTATTGTATTTATTTTTGACTTTCTACTTATTGTTCCTTAATCAAAAATATGCCTGAAGAAGTTTTAGATGTCATTCATGCATGTTTGAGTAATTTAGTGATCTCTCCTGGGCCCCATTCAGACCCTTCGTTTGAATACATTTAGCAGTAACTTTCTGTCCAACCAAACCATCCATGCTCCTACATGACAATTCTCTATAAATATACAAAAACATATTACAAAAACTATACACAGCAACTTGACATCTAATGCAATAAGTGCTCCACTGTGTTTTTAAACTCCACGCAACTTCACTAGAATCATTTGGATGATTTCAGCCCTGGAATTGCCAATCTCTACTGAACAAAAGGTAAAAAGTAGATGTTAACTTGAAAACTTCTGCACGACAAATAAATCTCTAAGATCACTGAAAAAATAAAAATGAAAACTCAAGCTTAAACGGTTTCAACAAGAGGAGTGCGTGTCTTAAATTCTTGACTAGATTTTAGTATTTTTGTACTTTTCTTCTTAATTTCTTTCCACAAACTGCATCTAAAATTATGTAAAACTATGATAAATTCTGTGGAAAAAAGTAAAAATGAAAACTCAAGCTTAAATGAGCTCAACAAGTGCAGTGCGTCTTTTAAATTCTTCATTGGAGATTGGCAATTCTAGGGTTAAAATTATCCAAATGATTCTAGTGAAGGTGCATGGAGTTTAAAAACACAGTGGAGCAGAGTTAAACATGTGTAAATGAAACAATACACAACTCCAGGTCTGTTTGTGATGAGGAAACAACATTATAACAAATCAGAAAACAGCAAACGGCAAAAGGGTCTGTTGTCTCGGGCCCCAAAGTTTTAGGGACCCAGAATTTAACACTCTTCATATTAATTCATATTAAAGGGGGCCCATGTAAAGCTTTTTGCCCGGAGCCCCCAAAATTTCTGGCGACGGGCCTGCGTATAAACATATATGGGTGTTTGTTTTAGAAATCAGCGCTACTTTCTGTATTTTGGTACTTTTCTTCTTAATTTCTTTCCACAAACTGCGACTAAAATGATTTAAAAATGAAAACTCAAGCTCAAACGGCCTCAACAAGAGCAGTTCGTGTCTTAAATTCCATCAAAAGTGAGCTAAGATTGTTTACTTATTCACACCTCTCCCTCCTCTCGACACCAGTTGCACAAAGGGACAAGAAAACTGCTAAAATCCTTGTCACACCGTTTCCATGACGACGCGCTTTCTCTCTTCCCACATCCATCCGTCCGTCCTCCTCCAATTATCGCGACATTTGCACTTGCGCCCGTTCCGTTTAACCTTCCCACCTTGAGATCTCGCGAGACTTGACACGGCAGCGTCCGGGAGGCGGTGTTTTCGCGTCGTCGTCGTTTTCGAGGCGGAGCGAATCGCTGCAACTTTGGCTGAACTTCTGATTTGAACAAACCAGAGGCGGTTGTTCGGGCACTGCACAGCGCACGGACACAACACGAGCCACGGTGTACGTTTCGTGGGTTTAACGTAACGCTGCGAACTCCTCACGGTGCTTTTGCGTTTCCGTCTCCCGGTCCCGACGGCTTGTAGCGGCTTTTACGCACGGGAAAACGAGCGCAAGGTGGGATTTCTACAAGGTAAGCGATTGCATATTTCCTCACGCGTGCTGTGACCCGCTGTCTCAAGTCATACCCCCGCGCATCATTCTCGCATTTGCACGTTTTTTAATCGTTAACTCCGTAATGACCGCGCTAAAAAGTTGGCGCCAGGTATTGCATTGTCCATCGCGGCTCATTCATTGCACCAAAAATCACGGAATGCCGCTGTCTTCTTGCATGTTTTAGCCCACTGTTAATTAAACTGCGCGTATTTTGCGTTGATTTTGCACGGGGCATGACCAAAAAACGTGTGCAGTCCATTTCTTTCGCGTATAAAGACACAGGAAATATTGTAAATCGGTTATCAGATAAGGTAGTGGTTATGTTTCCTTCAGCCCCTCCGTGAATGCTGTGTAATCGGGATGGCTGGCTGCTGCTCCCGTGGTTTCCTGCCTCTATCTACGTACAAGTCTAAATTTAACCTCGTAAATTGCATTAGATCCGCTCCCATTTGGCGTCTTTTACGCAGTGAAATTGTGAAACTTTTCCCCGGGACGATGCAAGGTGTATGCATAATGATGGTGCGTTCACGTGTCACTTGTTGTAACTTATAAATTACGCGTATTCTTGGCGACACCGGTTCATTAAAAGGAATTTGCATGCTGTCAGTCATTACATTACACTGTTTAATTCATAGCGATCAAAAGCTCTTGCCTTAATCAAAATGGCCGTCTGTGGAGTCTTAATACGTGATGTAACACTGCTACACTTAAATGATGGAATGCTAAAAGGGGCATGTGAATTTTTACCACGTTTTTTTAAAGATGCACTGTGTAACTTTCCCACTGGGGCGTCCTCTAGCTGCTTGTCTCCATGTAGATGTTATAACTTTGCCTGGAATGTTCCGCAGAATGGCGTTAAATGTTCAAAAATATACATTCCTACTGCACGTGGGGTCTCCAATCCACAGATCTGACTCGTAACTTGGTCTCGTAGCGTCACCTTCTTGTTGCCATAGAAAAAGATCTGTTTTAAAGGACTCATATTGCGCTATTTTTAGATCTATGTTATAATATAATGTTGTTTCCTCATCGCAAACATACATACGTGGAGTTGATTTTTGTTTCATTCACACGTTTAACACAGAAATCCTGCATATTTAGGTTGAGTTCTTGTCTCAAACTGAAAACACTCTGTTCCACCTTGTGATGTCACGTGGGAAATACAGTAATACATACAATACTTCATTTTAAACTCAATACATCTTCACTAGACTAAGGTGGTGTCCACACGGCAACGGTTTTTTTGGTCAAAGCGGTGAAGTTTGTATTCGTTTTGCCGTTTCGTCCACACAGAGCCGGCGTTTCAGGTGGGCGAAAACGGGTTCTAGAGTGGAGAAATCTGAGAATGCTGGCGTTGCGTTGTCATGCGGACAAGCAAACCGCAGCTTTTGGAAAACGATGACGTAGCAACCCCGTTATTGCCACGTGACCAGAAGAAAATCCCACGCAGGAAGGACTTCATCCGCATGCGCTTGTTGTAATATTATTGTGTGTTCAGTAGCTCTGGCTGTATCCTGTTTAGAGCACCACATACAAGTGTTGCATATGTATTACATCGTTTTCACTCTTCGTCGTCATGTGGACGTGAATATTTATTGATCTGACACGTGTGTGGACGCGAATTTTTTTCAACCCGCAAAAAAAAAAATCTAGAAGCGTTGTCATGTTTACATAGCCTAAGTTGGATCTTTTCTGCCCTAGAATTGCCGATCTCTTCTGAACAAAACATAAAAGGAGATGTTAACTAGAAAACTACCACTTCATGACATCACAACGTGGAACAGACCATTTTGAGGATCACCTAAATATGTGTGAATGCAACAAAACACAACTCCATGTGTATTTTTGATAAGTCGCAACATTGTAAGATTAATTTTGTGTAATATAGGACCATTAATGCAACACTATGGAACATCTAATCAAAGCAATAACATACCTCTGCTCGAAAAGTTACATAGTGCAGCTTTAAGTCCCCTGATCTGCATATGAGAAGAGTCAGCTGAGTGGGAATGAATGGGATTTGGTAACTTGGGGACATCCAGCTGTGACCACCGCTCTGCCCACTGTTGTTACTGGCTTCTATCTCCACCTGTAGAGTGTCCTTAGGCATGCTCCACCATCACCACCCCCGCCGTCCTCATAACCCACCCCCTCCGTCCTCACAACCCACCCCCTCCGTCCTCACAACCCACCCCCTCACAACCCACAACCAACCCCCGGGATGCTACACTTCACTGCTTTCCGTTTCCCATTTTGTGATAAGGTTTTGTTATTCGTGAATGGGATATGGGAGTGTGGTTGCACTTTACATAAGAAAATACCAGTTGAGAATCAAGCTACGTCAGTGTTGTACTTGTTATATAATTTAAAATACAATATATATTATCACGATATGCATCTCATCGTACGATATTTATTGCGATATTTTGGAGAAGCTGATATAATTGTAGATAGGAAGCTTTTTTGGTTTTAAAATACCCTGACAAGATTTTGGTGTGAATTATTTCCGTCATAATCCCAAAAATTCAAGTAAAAACATATTTCTTCATGTTGTTTGCGCTGAAATGAATCATGGGATATGTAGTTCCCCGTGTTTGTAAGCTATTGCAGCTGTAAAACGATATTACGATATTATTGTGAGATGTTTGATTATACGATATCACAATATTTCGGTTATTGTTACATCCCTATAATCAATAGTCAAATGTCAAAGCTTAAAGGTGCACTGTGTAACTTTTTTGTTAGGAGTCCATCACCTGCTGGTTTCTTTGGATATATCATTGCTCTGCTTCGAATGTTCCACAGTGTGACATTAAGCAGCTCTACCTTACATTTATTCAGTTACAGGTGGTTTTATAGCTCAAAAATACCTAGAAAAACTGACTGTGAGCGGGGTCGCCTCTCCACAGATCTGACTTGTAACTTGGTCTGATTTGGTCTACATGAAGATAAAACTGTGAAACATTCCAGACAAAGCAAAACATCTCCACTAAGAAAAGCATTTGACAGATCCTCCGCCACAAAAGTTACACAATGCACCATTAACTTAAAGACGCACTATGTAACTTTTCTGTTCACCACCTGGTTGTTTCCATGGAGATGTTTAATCTAAAATTCAAAATGTTCAGCGTCTATGATGAGCGAGCTTGCCAGTCCACAAATCTTACCCTAGTGGTGCCACCTACTTGTCTCCATGGTGATACGTTTAACGCCATATTATATTACATTCCTGGTGAAAGTCTAATCCTAACACCTCAATGGAGAATACTGAAATGTTACATAGTGTGCCTTTAACTTAGAACTGGATTTATTTAATATTTTAAATGAAAAAGTATGTTTGTTTTAGCCTCTGAAAGAAAGCAATTCTATACCAGAACACTTTGTTACTGCAATAGATTTTGTTTAGGGCCTATATTACACTATTTTCTGATCTTACAATGTTGTTTCCTCATCACAAATGGACCTAGAGTTGTGTTGTTTGCCTTGTTTGTCTTTGTCAAACCACTTCTTGTGCAAAGTTTATATGAAACACAAACATTTTAATCAGCAAAACAGTGAAAATGTCAAATAAACGAGTTTCCTTCCTCTAAACAAGCAACAAAACTGTAGCGCTGTGACGAAATACGGTCGAGATGGATGTAGACGAAGCCATACATTCTGCGTTGGCAGCGATTCCCAAGATTGAAGATTTAAAGCCGGAACAAAGAGAATGTTTGGTGAATTTTATCAAGTGGAAAGATGTTATTGCCCTTCTTCCTACGAGATTTGGCGCATTACATACGTCATGATCAAATAGCAGCGATTGGTTGAATAAAAAAAGTACCCGCCTACCATCGAGCGAACGAATCCTAATGCTGCGAGTTCAGACGGTTTCCACAAAGTGAAACCGGCTGATGATTCAAGCTAGTACTTTATTTTATCCCTGTAGGGAAATTGCCCTCTGCATTTCACCGATGCTTTCAGGAGCATTGGGCACCCGGGGACCCACCTCCGTGATTTTTGTTGCTATTCTTGGTCAGGACTACCTCAGCTAGAGGATTTTTACCTATGGTGCATGTTTTGGGTTGATGGGAGAAATCCGAGAGCCCAGAGAAAACCCACTCAGACACGGGGAATACAGGAAGTGCTCCAGTGTGTTTTTAAACTCCCTGGAATTGCCAATCTCTACTGAATTAAACTTAAAAAGAGCTGTTAACATGAAAACTACTGCTTCATGTTTGTAGATGTTTACAGACTAATAAAGCAGGATTACTCAAACATGTGTAAATGAACCAAAACACACCTCCGGGCGTGTTTTAACAACATTATAACATATCTTAACGCTCTAAAGAATCCATTTTGTGCACCATTTAAATGCAAGAGCTGTTCTATATTGCAGTACATTTACGGTCTTTTCCTCTTAGCGGGGATGCATCTGTAGAACCTCTGTGTACCCAAACATGTTATGGCATCACTGATTCACCTTTGTACGCCAAGGAAATCGAAGAATCCGGGAGGGCTGTGGCGCATTTTATAATATTAAGCCAGGCTATTCATTGGAATGGAGTGTGTAGGAGGGAGTGCACATGTGCTGTTATACACGGAGCTTTGAATTAGAAGGGAGGGAGAGGAGACGAGAGGAAAGGAGAGGAGACGAGAGAGAGGAAAATGTCAAGGTTACTGCTTAGGCACATCATCAAAGTGTTTATTTAAGATGGATTTTTTTTTTGTGTGGATGTCTTCACACAGATTAAACACGAAAAATAGGTTAGGTAGGTGTTCAGATGCGTCAAAATGTTCTCAAGCGGAGATTTGAGGCAGGTTCAAGTAACTGAAGTTGCGGTGATTTTAAGTGCTTTTCAAAACAAGTCAAGTGTGCAAATGTGTAGCGTTGTCAAAATACTAAAATTTCAAACTCTATTTCATAACTAAGGAAGTGATTTGATAAGGGATGTAACAATAAGTGAAATATTGTCAAAAGTCTCACAAAAACATCGT